AAATTGATGGGGTAATTGTTGATGAACATAGCTGGATAATGGATGATCATTAATGCATTGACAATTACCATCATAAGCAGCGGACATTTGAGTAAGGATTTTGGTTAAGAATGACTAATTTGATGAAATTCAAACAAAAACTAATAGAATGTACCCATCACACGGGATGAGGGACAGACATGGAGGATAGGATCAACACGGAGCTTTAATGGTGAATGTTTGAGGCAAGAACCAAACAGGAAAGTTAACAATTGAGTAGGGCAAGATGTGACTGACGTTGAGGTCGGTCCTTACCCCAGGCTGCAATTCGATCTGGGTCGTTAGTGTGGAATTCCATGAGTTGGGCTGGGTATAGCGTGTCATCTCATGGAACCCATCAGCTGTCCTGATGGTTGTGGCAGAATGTTTTCAGGAAGATCCAATCTCCTAGATCTTTTTTTAAGAATGACTTCCACACTCTAGAGATAAACTGGGGCCTTGATCAGAAATGATATCTTCAGGTAGATCGTAGTTTCTGAAGACTAAGTAAAAAAGGTTTTGGACATCTCAGATGCATTGGACAGGAACCAGGCAGCAGGCTTTAGAGAACTTTTTCTACTACCACAATAATGCATGTGAAGAATTCAAAGGCATGGAATGGGCAATGGAAAAAGTTGACCCTCTTGTAGGTGTCTAGAAGATTGGGAAATGGCACAGTTGGGGGATACTAGTACAAACCAATGGACTTCCTGAAACAGACTGAGCCAACAGTAGAAATTACGGATGAGCGAGTGTATTTATTGGATACTCGTGTTACCATCAAGGAATGCAGGAGTCCATGAGGGAAAGGTGGAGAATGGATGGAACGTAGGTCTTTCCCTCAGGACCTCTCGGCAGAACGGTTTCTGACTGAGTGGCCTTGGTGATCTGTTCCATCAAGTGACCACTGAATCGAGCTGACGATTACAATTCGAGAGTCTGGAGAGTGCAGCCAAGAGAGGGCACCTGCTTTCACATTCTTGGTTGTGGCCCAAGAGACTTGGGCTTGTTGAATAGTAATGAGGTTAACAGCGAAGCAATTTGGCTAAAGTTGGAGATGAAACATCTGTAGAAGTCATAGCTAATCCAAGAAATCATTGTAATTCCTTTACTGTAAAAGATAATAGCCAGTTTCTGACTGCTTTAACCTTCCCCTGGTCCATCTGTACACTATTGGCATTGATGATGTAGCCGAGAAACTGGATAGAAGATTGATGAAATTCACATTTGTCAAATTTGAGGTAGAGATTATTCTCCTGAACCTTTTTGAGGACCTGCTCAATATGAAGTGGTCGTACAATGATCGTTTTCGCTCTGGGAATAAATCAAGATGTCATCCATGTAGATAATCACAAAGTGGTGGAGGTACTCCCAGAACACTTCGTTGATAAATCCCTGGAATACAGAGGGTTAGTTGGTTAGACCATGTGGCATGGCCTGGTACTCGTAGTGCCCAGTTGGTGTTATGAAGGCGGCCTTCCATTCATCTCCCCTTTCCGTATACGGATGAGGTTGTATGTGTTATGCAGTTCCAGCGTGGTGAAGATTTTTGAGGGCAGAGGGGACCAGGAGAAGAGGATAGCAGTACTTGATAGTGTGTTGGCTGAGTGGCATGTCCCTTAGATCAGGGGTTTTCAACCTTTTAGGACATGCCCCCCCCCCCCCAAGTGTCTAATTTCACTCGCGCCCCCCCAACAACTCCCCCCTCCCCATTACTTTATTAACATCAACATAACGCAAATATTCATTAAAGCTATTAAAGCAGTGAATAATTTTTCTTTTGCTCTTTTTGATTAACATTTATATAAGAAATGCACGGATCCGTTATACTGATGTACATCTGATATTTTCTTTACTGTTTATGTTCACTTAAAACAACCGACTGTGCTTACAAAGATACTTGTCAAGACAGCCATTGGTATTCACCTGCTGTCTGAGAAGGCTATCTGTTTGTGCACTTCAGATGTGTGCGTGGTGCGCATAGAAACACTTTATCACAGCGTGTGCGTACCGGACTGAGATGTCTTGGGCTTAAATGGCTTAAAATTACTTTAATGTTTAAACTGACAAAACTTTCTTGAGGAAGCAGCACTGGCCTGATCGATAACCCTCTAAGCGCCAAAGTCGTAGTGTCCATAGGAGAGCTGTTGCTAGAGGTAGAGGCAGCAGGTGTAGGAGAAATAGGGCTGGAAGTAGCACTAGCTCTTTGGATCCAGTCACAGCGGCTCCGGATCCAGTGCCCCAAAGAGGTGGGAGTGGCCGCGGTACACGGTGCAGTCAGTGTGAGGTAAGGTCTGTGCCATGCAATAAGAGGTGCCATACTCTCAAGAACTATAAACTGTGTCACCTAGATACCTGATTGGGCAGATAGCTGGTCAACTGATCAAAAAATAGGCACATGCATTTTACTATGGCACAGTAATATAGTAATAATGTACTACTTTCTCCTGTTTTACTGTTGATTTCCTCTTTTCTGATCATTTGGAATGAGTATAAAAAGACAAAAAAAAAACATGCAAATAAGTTCAAACAGCTATTCAGTATCTACTATTTCCTGAATATTATGAAATTCAAGATGGCCGCCCATGATGACGTCATGATATGCAAATTAGACGAGTATATTTACACCCCACATAAACTTTCGGTCATGCCCAACATTTTTCTCATTTACAGCAGATCTCTATCTTTAAGCCCTTTCAAGCCTCAAGCTTTTGAAATCTTGATGTCAAAATCCAGCATTTTTCCAAAAATCCCTGGTGCCTAAAGGTTTAAGATAGTTTTGGGGGGCTAAGGTGACAGATAGGGGGGCTGTAACCCACCTAAAAAGGGTTTAGAACCGCCCTTTTCTAAACCCTTTATGGTATAGCGTGCGTAATTATACTGAAACATAAATATATAACCAGTTTACCTGATTCAATGTGATGGCTGAGCCTGTTTCTGAGATAACAACATGCCAATCCGTGGTTGGATTTCCGACACCACTAACCGTAAATCATTTTACACTGTCAACAAGCGTGACTGATACTCGAGCCAACTCTGCTCTAACTGTCGACTAGCAGTGGGAGTCAGATTGCCCCCTAGTGGATGGCTAAAGATTTGCTAACTCGTATTCATAAATCCTCAAGGGAATGTCTCTGAATTAAAGGGGTCATATGATGCTTTTTTAAAGATCATTATTTTGTGTATTTGGTGTAACAGAATGTGTTGACATGCTTTAATGTTCAAAAAACACATTATTTTTCAAATACTGTACATTATTGTAGGTCCTCTATGCCCTGCCTCTCTCAAACGCTTTGTTTTCTACAAAGTCCCTCCTTCCGACAAGCACAGTCTGCTCTGATTGGCCAGCTGACCCAGTGCATTGTGATTGGCTGAACACCGCAAGCACTCGTCGGAAATGTAATGCCCCTTACCATAATCGCAGCTTCAGCTTTCAAAATAGATGAAAAGACAGAGCCCGAAAGGGGAATAGAGTCGCGTGACAGACACAATGATGAAGCTGGTATGTGTTTGCAGTACACAAGCCACGGTTAAGACAGCTGACTCCACTGTGATGTGACCCCCCTCTCGCTCGCTCGCTCTCTCTCTCTCTCGCTCTCTCGCACACACACACATGATGCGCAAAACTCCGCATTTGAACAGTCAATAGCAAATACTTAAACTAATAACAAAACAGTAGCTGATTCAGAAGCAATCGCATCATATGACCCCTTTAACTGATGCTTGCGCCCCCCTTGACAGGTGCTGGGCCCCACAGGTTGAAAACCCCTGCCTTAGATGTTGAGGACTAGTGCATGTTTGAGCCTACATTCAGTACAAGTAAAATACTTAAGTATTGTTAAAATCAGATATGCTAAGACTTTTGCTCAAGTATCATTCAAATTGGTCAATTGTAACTTGTAATGGAGTAATTTTCACTGTAAGGCAAGGATTTGCAAAGTCAAAGGCAGTGGGCCTCCCTTTTGACACAATGCAAACAATGGTGCCTCCTCCACTCCCTAATTTTCAATAGTAAAAAATACTTTAAAATTTTCATAATTCACAATGTATGTATTTAGTGCAACAGCAAAACCTGTGAAAGGAAAATAAATACATTTGTTTAGATAGTTTTTAATACCAATAAGCACAAGTCAAGCTGCGATACCAAACAGGACCACAGGGAGATGGCAGTTGCCTTATCTTGACTGCATATGGATCTATTCAGAATCGTTAAACCATTGACCTTCACATGCTCTAAAACACACTTCTTCGGCCAGCATTTTGACAACTATGCAACTATGCACATCAATATTAACAGACTCTCATGTAATTTACATGTTCAGTGTAGACTGACAAACTCCCTGCTAGAATCTTATTGCATTCTATCCCTTCCTCACCCATATGGTAAATGACTGATTGACTTTGAGCTGAAGCTATAGAAGATTTAAACAGGAAATACGTATAAAATGCAAAGTATTTTAACATATCATCAAACTTCTCTCTGGTGTCTGCTGGAAATTTCTCATCCAGTAAAAGCATAGCTGTGTTCTGATATAGAGAGTAAGAGTGCAAGAAATATACAGAGAGAAACTAGAGAACTGTAGATGTGTTGGGCTGCTGCAAAGAGACAGTACACTCTAATCCTGCTCTGTGTGTTCCTATTCCACTAAATGGAATTGCAAAATTTATATTTTCCAAACAGGATCCTCAAGCATTCACCACAGGTCTGACTTCCATTCACGGGAGACTGGAAATGTAAGCTCATGTGAAATTACGCATTCTGGTGCATACAAAATCTTAATGTTGGAGAATTGTGACTTGCAATATGACTCCCAGATTGACCTCATGACTGAATTTAAAGATCACAAAATTAAAAAGTAGGTTTAAAACATTGCACACAGGTGGAGTAAATTTCAGATTTTGAATGTGTTATTTGTAATGTATTTTTAATTAAAAACTGAAGATATAGTGTGGCAGTATCTTACGATGATAAATGTAAAAACCTTTGCTCTGAGCTTGAGACAGATGTTCTGCTGGTGTAAGCGCTGTTTCTGAACTTCCTGCTGCTGTATGTGAGATATTATGCAGTCCTCCAACATGCTCAGAGCCCTCAGGAGAAGCTCTGAGTGATCCCGCTGCCAGCCCTGCAGTATCAGATTCTTCTGTGAAATGCTGAAATGATACCAGTCGCTCTGACGCTCATGTGCACTCTGCAATATAACAAATAACCACAGATACAGTGACTGTTGACAAGCATGACCAGGAAACAGACTGACATAAGTATTCAGACCCCAGCTTAGTTGAAGCACGTTTAACAGCGAGTGCGGCATCAAGTCTTTTGGGGTATGGGGTAAGCTTTATACCCATGGAATTCTTTCTTTCTTACTTTCTAAACAAGTGTATATAACTTGGTTAGGGTTTGCAGCTGATTTTAAAGCTTACCAATTTTTAAATGATTTGGCTATCTACAGTCTGACATATAAATACACAAAGAAGATTGGCCTCTCCGTAGTAATCGTGGCCCCTCTTGTGCCCCACCGTAGAAAAAATCCTAGAATCACCTCTTTATTTGTTGTTAGTAAAAGTTAACAAATTAAACCTTATCGCTTTGATGACATCTTCAACTTAGACATCATCTGTCTGTTGAAATATCATTAAATGACAAAATGAAAAAAAAAAATCCACATGATATGACAAGAACAACCCATGCGCTGCTGTTCCTGAGCCAGTTTAAAGCCTGCTCACAACAAATCTGATGCATCTAAGCAACATTAGAGTACAGTATACAGTAAAATAGATGCGAGTACATCCCTGTGCAATATGACTTAAATGTCAAATTATTAAAAAATATATCACCTTCTACGATGAACAGTAGAGTAAGTGCTGTTTGTTAAAATTAAAAATCTAATAGCTCAAGTTTACTAAATTAAAAATGCAGGCCCCAGAGCAAACTCAACGGAACAAAAGTCAGTACACCTTTTATTACTGATATTCAAATATCTCAATTCTAAACACAGACTCAATCCTCCTTGATATGAAGAATACCAGTTTTGCACACATTTCTGGATTGCTGGATTGATTGATTGATTTTTCAGCAGCTGATTGCTGGAGGGGTTTATTGCTATATATGATGTTGTTGTTGTATTGGACTTAAGTCAGGTGACATACTTGGCCAGGTCAGTTTTTGTCTTTTTCTTTAGAAACTTTTGGAAACAAGAAAGAAACTATTTAAGTGTGATTTAGATCATTATCAGTCATTTTGTCGTCCAGTATTTTGGTAAATGCACCATGAATGTATAGATTGTAAAAGTAGCACACTGTCTGTAGCATCATTTTAGAAGTATAGACTCTATAGCTCTGATTATGGTACTGTGGCTTATTCTACACCATCTGATTACTGCTGAAACTATGTTCAGTATGTTTGTTTTTGATTTTTCATAAAAGGAAATATTCTGCTTGTCAACTTCAATTATTGAGAGTTAACACTATTTTGAATAATTTGACATTTTTTTGCTATATTGCCCAGGAGTGTACTCACTTCTGTTGTATACTCTAAGTCACTTGTTGCCACCTGCTGGTAAAGCAGTGTAACCTGCAGACGGTCAGATAAATCAAATAAATTATTTTAAATGCATCTTTTCAGTGTCACTGAGGTAAATCCACATCCCCACCAACAAGCATTTTACACACAGTAGCTTTATTTTACATAAAAGTAATAATAATAATAACAATAATAATAGAAAAAAAGTAATTTTATGAATTATACAAGGCTTATTAACTGTATGTAAACTATAAACAGAAAATCATCTTACATCTTAAAAAATAAGCTTTTCATTTAGTTTTGCCGAACTTCTGGTTTAAGCCCCACCCATATTAATTTCTTTCTGAATAGAGACACCAAAACAGACAGATGTTCATTTATTACCAGATACATTTCTAATGCTTTTTTTAGGTAGTTCATTCAGTTTTTACAAAAATGTTCAATATTCATGTATATGGGTATATATTGGGCTAGGATATAATATTGTTTGGTCAGAATAGGTCAACCCTACGTGTATGTGCATAAGGGTTAATGTATGGGTGACTCTGCACAACTTGCAGCCTACTAAGCACACCAGACCTCAGCAGAGAGAGAAAGACAAAAGGAGACCATTCTATGCAGGAGTACTGACCAGTTCCTGTTTGGATATATGTGGCAGCATTCTCTGCAACATATCAATGTAAAGTGAGCGCTGGTTCCGCAGACTTGAGGAATACTGACTCATTATGTGCTGGAAACACTCATGATCTGCTGCATTCCAGCCACAATTCCTGAGACAAACGGACAAAGTATACAAATTACACTTCACAGATAATACTTCCAGGATTATACAGGTCCAGCCTGCTTCTGCCTCGGAGTTAAAAAAAATAAAAAATGTTCTGCAAAAACGTTGTGATCAAGTTTAACATCATTCCTAACACTGGCCTGCAATACATGGCCCCTCATGGATTTGTTTAAAATACAACTTTCTAACTGTACATAGTTTTGGAACAAGTCATGGCCACTGTAGGTGATAAAGAGTTAATAATAATAATAAGTATGTTACCTGTCCAGGCCTTGCAGTCTGGTCTCCACTATCGCTAATCTGAGTTTATATTTCTCAGTGAGAGAATGAAAGCTGTAGATAAGATCTGATCTGAGTTCAGGATATGGGCAGTCTGCAATAAAGATCTCATCTGGAACCTTCTCCAAATATGCTACCTGGTCTTCCATTGCAGCAGACAGTAGGTTCTCCTACAGGACAAATACAGTTTTATCTTCAAACATGGTTGACAAAATGTTTTACTACAAATTAATGACAATTATAGTACAAACACATTGTTGTACACATTTACACACCAAATCTCACTGATTAATGTTTGACGCAGTGAAATTAAAACAGAAGTTTTGTGGCTAGTTGTCCATGTCTTTTTGAGATATCACTTTTTAAAATGTTCTTTAAAATGAAAATGTCCCTCCCCAGAACTTCTGTCACCTGACTAGAAATGGCAGGTAGTCAACTGTGATTCATTCATCACGGTCATGTAACTAAAGGTTAATGGCATTAATTAAAAAAATATATCAGAAGGCCTTTAAATGATATTTTACCTAATAAATGTATTTCAAATAGAATGATACTTATGAAAGCCTGTGGCCCATTAAAATCAACATTTTAAAAGCCACATAGCATATGACAACAAATATGGGAGGCTGCTCAAAAATACTGAAAGGATAGTTCACCCAAAAATTGTTTCATCATGTACTTGTTGCGAATCATCATCAGAGTCGGGATCCATTTGCAGCGTTTTTATTGTGTAAACAGACAAGACAGGGTCAATCACCAGTAGATACAATAGCGAGGGCTAGGCTGAGACAGAACGTGAGATGGGCAGGAGGTCGAGGCACGCGGCAGACAGACACAGTAGAAGAACAATCCAAGTCAGGGCAGGCAGAGACAGATCAGAGCACGATAAACAGTCCAAGGTCAAACGAATAGGCAAGATACAGGGTAAATGCTCAGAAGTGACAGCCGGGGCAAATCAAGACTTCGCAGTGAGTAGCTGTGAGTGTTTGGCTTATATGTGTGTGTGCGTGATTCAATGCAGGTGTGTGCGTGCAATCAGTCCCAGGTATGAGGCATGATGGGAACTGGAGTCCGAATGGATGAAGTCAATATTCAGGAGAGAGTTCCCTCTGGTGGTGAGGAGGAGGCGGTACGGAAGCCTCCTCTACTCACCCCCAAGTCATGAATTTCTTTCTTTGCTTGAACACAAAATAATATATATTTTAAGGTGAGTAAATAAGGACACAATTTTCAGTTTTGGGTGAACTATCCCTTAAGACTGACCTATAAAATTACAGGTTACCAACATTTTAATGTGAAGTGCAAAAAAATATAGGCCTATAGTACAAGTGTAATTTTAAGTGACCTTGAGTTCAGTAACACAGATGTCCTGCTGTAGAGACACACATTCACACTGCAGTCTGTCTATGACTTCCTCCTGCTGCTGTTTGACAGACAGAACCTAAAACACAAAGAAATGGGGTTAATCAAAGTTAGAAAAATCCCTGTATATTTTGTATGAAATGTATACAAACATAATTAGTTTCTGCCACAAAACAGGAGAGGAGACTTCACGAGTGCAGTGCAACAGGCTTTATTGACAGAAATTAGCAAAACAGGCTGGAGCAGGTGAGTTGGTAGATGGTAGTGGTGCGTTGTAACTTAGCTAGTGAAACAGGCTTGAAATGGAGTCCTTGCTGAACTGATGATAAGTAGATGATCCGAATCAGGACAGATGATAAAGGACTGAAGATGATTGCAGGTAAAGGATAGCGAGCTGAACAAAGGGAGTTGGGCAGTAACACACCTAGGTGGTTGTTAGAGACCAGATGCTGAGTGTTGGTGAAGTGCTGGTTTATGTGTGGCCATAATGTGATGCAACAGGTGTACCGTGTTATAATTCAGGCGATTGAGATTGTGTGGGAGGATTTATGGGCTCTGTTGCTGAAGGTGCAGTTCGGGAAGTCGGGTGGCTCCCAAAGACTGAGATGGGCAATGACGGGGTGGCCTCAACCTCTGGATGCAGGACGGATAGGGTAGTTGGAATGGAACTCAAAATTATTGATAAAAATTAGAGAACACATACAGATATCTCCAAGTTAATGGCGTTAATCTGGGACCTGTTGCTAATTTCCTTAATTATATGACTACCCCTGTTTAGCTGACAGCATTCCTCCAAATTTCATTGAGATTGCAAGATGCTGGGCCGCTCTAAGGTGACTGAAAGCCTGGGACAGGAGGTTGTCCAGATGAAGGCTAAAGGGATGACCCTTTCAGCCATTGGAAGAGAAGTTGGTTGTTCCAAATCTGTGATTTTTCAAATATTGCAGCTTTACAATGACACTAGTTCAAGTCCCCCCAAAAAGGCTGGTCTTCCACATAAGACAAATGCATGAGAGGACAGGATAATGTGGAGATTCTCAATGGGGAATCGGTTCAACACTACAGCTGGAATTGCTTGCCAGTTTAGTGCTGAACAGGGTAAGGATCTGTCTCGGCACATCTAAGAGAAGTCAAACTGAAAGCACACTCTGCAGTGACCAAGCCTCTCATCAGCAGAAAGACTCATATATATATAGCTATATGCTATAGCTAATATTCCCAATAGGGTCTGGCTGCAGACATGCACTTGCACTCTCAGACACCTGTGCTTCTGCTAGTGATGTCACTTGCATTTTATCTATTTTTTATTTTATTTATTTTTTATTGAATCTCTCAACATTTTACACAAGTATCCAGGTAGTGAAGACTTGAAAAAAGAAACAAAATTACAATGTCACTTTCAATCGCCACCTGCACTCTCCGCTAACCGCGATGTCACTTGAAAGCGACACAAATCATGCATGTTGCCAATGGAGACAACACGCTGTGGTGGTTTAACGATTAAAAATAAATTAGTACCATAGCGTACAGGGTCCTGCAAGTCATCTGTAGGAGAAAAAGTCAAGACCCATTTTCCTCCCATAAAACCATAAACACTTAATATGGCTTAATGTATCAAGATATTAAGTGCCATTAAAAGATCTGTCATGGTTATATTCTGTTTACATAGACTTTGGGTTTGTTTTAATTTCCTGTTCTCCAGTGTAGTTTTGTTCCTTGACCTAGTTTTCCTTAGTTCCCTTGATTGGTTTATTCTGTTCACCTGTGTCCTGTTAATTTAGTCATTTAGTTTCTCTCTTGTCTGTGTATTTAAGTTCCCTCCTGAGTTCCTTTGGTTGTCGGTTGTTAATGTTGTTGAATATTTAGTTGCTGATTATGTTACCCTGTGTGTTAGACCTTTGCCCTGTGAATTACCATTATATGGATTATTCTTGAATCTTCGTCTTCATGATCTTCCTAGCAGCAGCGTGACAGAACAACTGACCAAACAGATAATGGAGTGGGCAGCGAAGTTCACTGCCATGGCTCAGGAGAGTCATGATTTTTTTTTTCATTCACTCCTTTTTCAGGAGGGGCTTAACAACTGCAGTTTTCAGGGAGTTTGGAAAAGTCCCAGAAAGAAGTGAGGTGTTTACCACTATGAGATCTGCTTTTAAACAGTTAAACACACTTTTGAAGAAAGATGTGGGAAGTGTGTCATGGTAACAGGTTTACGATTTAAGGTGTTGTACTATTTCATCCTAAATTTTGCTATCAATTTCTTCAAAAACAGACATCGTAACTTCTTTTTGAGATTGTGGTCGAATCTGTCTGACCTCTGCATAACTTGAAGATGTGCCTTTCTGATATTACTGATCTTCTCAGAAAAGGAGGACGCAAACTCATTGACTGGGAAACTGACTTGGGGGGGTTTGTTAGTCTCTCAACAGTAGCAAAAAGAGTGTGAGTGTTTTTAAATGACTGTTTATAAGGTTTGAGAAAAAGGTCTGTCTAGCTGTGCCTAGTTCCACATTGATGAAGGCTGTCTTTATTGATGCTATAATGAATTTCATGTTTCGTCTTCCGCCACATCCACTCAGCTTTTCTGCTTTGTCTTTTCATACTATGTACTGCTGTTGAGTTTCTCCAAGGCGCTTTTTTGTCTGCCAGTTTTCTTCCTGACTTTCACAGGCGCAATATCATCAATAACATTCTTAACTTCTGAGTTAAAGGAATCAAGCAGAAGATTGACAGAGTCTGCAGATATGCTTAGTGTTAAAGATATAGCCTTCAGAAATAGCACACTAGTGTACTCATTTATGCATCTCTTTCCGACAGACACAGATCTAGATTCAGCCGTAGCAGAGTTCAATATATCAAAGAAAATACAGAAGTGGTCAGATAGTGCTACGTCCTTAATAACAATAGATGGAATGTTTAGACCCTCACTGATGAGTAAATCTAGAGTGTGTCCACGATTGTGTGTGGGTTCATGCACATGCTGAATCAGGTCAAAATTGTTTACAACATTTATAATTTCTTTTGTAGTATTGATTTCTGCATTATCTACTGTATATGAATATTAAAATCCACAGCAATAGCAAAACAGTCAAACTGTGAGGATATCATTGATAACAGTTCAGTAAACTCCTCAACAAAGGCTGGAGAGTATCGTGGAGCCCGTAAATAATGATAAATAGAATGCGTGGAGCAACTTTCAGCACAATACCTATATATTCAAAAGACAAAAATGACCAAATGGCAACAGAGCAGCTACACCTCCACCTCTACAAACAGCTCTGCATACACTCATAAAAGTAAAGTTAGGGGGGGCTGTTTCATTTAGGACCGTTGCACTGCAGCTGTCTTCTAGCCATGTTTTGTCTAGAAACATAAACTCCAGTTCTGTCAGGACCACTATCATTCAAAGATGATTGACAATTAGCATACAGTTTGGACTGGCGGTATGGTTCTGTTCTGGGCAAGAACTCCCTGCGCATCCATTCAGCCTAGCATGGATGAGAGCAGGGAGAGCAGCAATAACCCCCCCAGGTTAAACAGAACAGAACCAACATAAATATATTGCAGATATTTTTAAAGTTCAATAATTTTATGTATACATTTTAGAATTAGTCTGATTCAAAGAGAATCAGAAGGCTGAATCCCGACTGACAGAGGAGGAGTTGGGGATGGAGGAGGGTAATTAGCTATTGAGCAATGCGAAAACTGCTGATAATACTGAGGGACCTTATATATGAATGCTTAGACAGGTGTCGTATTACCATAGGTAGATGGGGATCAGCTGAGAGTCAGCTGATGCGAGCTTGACTAAGAGAACTAACGCTACGCTTGATTTCTGTCAGAACCACTATCGTCAAAGATGATTGACAATTAGCATACAGTTTGGATTGGCGGTATGGTTTTGTTCTGGGCAAGAACTCCCTGCGCATCCATGCAGCCTTGCATGGATGAGAGCAGGGAGAGCAGCAATAACCCCCCAAAACAAAACCATATGCTGATATCCCCCAACACAAACTGATAGCAAAATCTCAAAGCCTTAAGCAACAAGCATGTTGCCCTTAACCAATGACCAATCAAATATGTTGCCAAAACCCACATAACCTGTAGCAACAATTCTGTTGCCTTTAACAGATGACCTAATGAATATGATGCCAATACTTTAAAAGCTTAAGCAACATGTTCTCAATAATACCAGATAGACTTAAGAAAAACATGTTCCAATTAGACTACAGCTTCAAACTGTGAGGATATCATTGATAACAGTTCAGTAAACTCCTCAACAAAGGCTGGAGAGTATCGTGGAGCCCGTAAATAATGATAAATAGAATGCGTGGAGCAACTTTCAGCACAATACCTATATATTCAAAAGACAAAAATGACCAAATGGCAACAGAGCAGCTACACCTCCACCTCTACAAACAGCTCTGCATACACTCATAAAAGTAAAGTTAGGGGGGGCTGTTTCATTTAGGACCGTTGCACTGCAGCTGTCTTCTAGCCATGTTTTGTCTAGAAACATAAACTCCAGTTCTGTCAGGACCACTATCATTCAAAGATGATTGACAATTAGCATACAGTTTGGACTGGCGGTATGGTTCTGTTCTGGGCAAGAACTCCCTGCGCATCCATTCAGCCTAGCATGGATGAGAGCAGGGAGAGCAGCAATAACCCCCCCAGGTTAAACAGAACAGAACCAACATAAATATATTGCAGATATTTTTAAAGTTCAATAATTTTATGTATACATTTTAGAATTAGTCTGATTCAAAGAGAATCAGAAGGCTGAATCCCGACTGACAGAGGAGGAGTTGGGGATGGAGGAGGGTAATTAGCTATTGAGCAATGCGAAAACTGCTGATAATACTGAGGGACCTTATATATGAATGCTTAGACAGGTGTCGTATTACCATAGGTAGATGGGGATCAGCTGAGAGTCAGCTGATGCGAGCTTGACTAAGAGAACTAACGCTACGCTTGATTTCTGTCAGAACCACTATCGTCAAAGATGATTGACAATTAGCATACAGTTTGGATTGGCGGTATGGTTTTGTTCTGGGCAAGAACTCCCTGCGCATCCAT